AGGTATGGGGTACAGTGTTATATACACAAATGCTATTGAATCAAAAGACAGAAAATAAGATGAGTAAATTGATCAAGGCAGAAGAATAAAACTGCCATGCCTTCCCCCCCAACCCCCTCCCACACACAGATGCGTGTATATGGGTTTTTTTTCCTTCAAGAAACCATAATGAGGAAAGGACAGAATAACATTGGAATGTTAATCAGTAGATAATGAAAGCCGGGAATAAAAGGAAAATCATTCTAAATATAGTCTATGCCCTTTGGTATATCATTTTCCTAGACCAGAATTTAATTGATTCAAATTAGGGAAGTTATTGCTGTTCATATTATCAAGAGATTGTAATATTTACTTTTCAGTTAATTGGCAGCATGGTGTGATAAAAAGTCCCAGTTGTCACATTGTATATTGGTCAATTCATATTATCTCTTTGGGCCTGGGTCTATGTATAAAATGAGAATACTTTACTTATTTATAAAGTTCTGGGAGAATCAGATATTAAATAACTGGTGTGAAAGAGCTTTGACAGTTGCTTGCAAGTGCTTATCTCTGTAGCACCAGTTCATATAGAATGAACTTGTCTTTGGCCCCTTGATCAACTGTTGTTTTTCCTTTTCCCCTTGGATAGCCCCGTCGTCGTCGATAGTGCTCTCACAGATTGGGCAGAGAATTACTTAATATCTAATTCTACTGTGTGCCAGGTTTATTTTCATGTTCCAGAGTTCAATTAATCATTAACATACAAACTGCTTTTCCATGTTAGATTCCAGATGAGATGATCCAGTGTGTAGTCTGTGAAGACTGGTTCCATGGAAGGGTAAGGAAAGCCTTTAGCTTTTAAAGCCATTGTCTTCACAAAAGGAGAAAAGATCTTTGCTTTTTGAATTGTGTTATATTTTACATTATAGTTACTCTTCTAAAAGTGTACTATAAAGATATGATCAGTGTACTACTGCAATATTTGTTTATAAAATAACAAGCATTTTGGACAACCGGAGATCACAAGAAAAATACTCAGTGTTCTGTGTTCACAGCATCTTGGTGCCATTCCCCCTGAGAGTGGGGACTTCCAGGAGATGGTGTGCCAGGCCTGCATGAAACGCTGCTCTTTCCTGTGGGCTTACGCTACACAACTGGCAGGTAGGTGTCTCTGTGAGTCAGTGTCTCACAAACCTGTGCTTGTGAAGTTTTTGTGTTCAGTCCAGAACTTCTAGCAACTATTTTTAACGGACTCTGAGGTATAGAAAAAAGTATAAGACATGTTCTTCCTCCACAAGGTACTTATAGATTGATTGCAAGTCTAGCAAGAACAAATTTGTACTTAAATGGCATGATGCAGAGTATAGATGAGGCTGTAATTAGAGAAAATGAAGGAGGCAGTGTTCAAATGGGACTTTGAAAGATAAATAGAACCCAAATACGTTGTTTTGAAATGTAAGACATGCTGGGCCGGCCAAGTGGTGCGTTGTTTAGGAGTTGGCTTGGGACGCCAGCTCTGAACAGCAGGGCCCCAGTTTGGATCCCAGATGAGGGCCAGTGACACTGCCCTCTACAGCTAAGATGGTGAACGACAGCTCGACCTGGAGCTGGATTGCCGTGAGTTGCCGGCGACAGCATAGGCTGCAGTGGGGCTGGCCGGCAGCAGGCGTGAGCTTTTGTGAGAAGCCGTCCAATGGCCGGAGAGCAACTGCCTCACCCGGGAAGAGTGCAATGATAATACCAACATGAGCCAGTGAAGCAAAGTCTTCCACAAGTAGACTGAAGAACAAAAGGACAGCAACTTGCCTGTTCCCCTTCCCCGATTCCCCAATGCTGTTTCCCTTCCCTAATTCCTCCATAAAATCTTAAAAAAAAGAAAAGAAATGTAAGACATGCTATTGGTTGGGGAGGGAGTGGTGGGTGATATCTGGTGTTTTATACACTAAGAAATTGACGCCAAACAAGTACTCAGCAACGAATGG